ATATATATATATATATATATAAAGGTGTAAAGCGATGTAGGTTAAAACATGTCATAGTGAAAGTTTGTTAATAACATTTTTAGTTTTTTAATTAGTGCTTTGAGAGTATTTGTGAGCCTTTTCTTCCTAAAGTTGCATTTGCGAAGGAAATGCTGATAACTTCTTAGTAGTGTTGTGATAAGTCGGACCACAACACTAATTTTTGGAATCAATTTTAATGAAAAAGTTTGTTTACATTCATCTTCCCCTAGTTAGAAATTAACATAAAAAGTTCACATGCCAAAAATTTTATTCTATTTGTCCAAACACGAAAAAAATTCACTCTTATTTTATTCTTTTTAAGAATGTAATGCATTCTTTGCACTAAATTTCACTTTAAGGAAGAATTTTCCATTAAAGAATATTATTGATTAATATGAAAATCGGGATGTTAACAGTTTGTTGAATAAATGTAAAATAAAAGTGATACAAAGTACGAATTTGAGGGGAAACTCTAGGTGTGAGTATGTGAATATTATTATTCAATCAGTTCATACTTCTAAGAAGATATATTTAAGAGAGTGAAATTATTCTTTTTTTTAGTAAAATCCATGTTTATAGAAAATTTTAGTCATTTACATAACAATACTATTATTTTCATATCCAGCAAATTTTTATACTCGCTTTATATCTATTATTTTACTCTTTTTTTTTATAAATACAAAAAATCACTTTTTAATGAATAAATTATCTTAGGAGTGAGTTATTAAGTGATGTTTTTGATGTAAAAGAAAATGAATAAAGGTATTTTGTAAATAATGGGCCTGACTCATAATTTAAAATTTCCAATATTTATACATATGGTATCTTAATTTTTGCTAAATGCATTTTAAATTTTAACTAAAATACTAGTAGTCGTTGAAATCTTGTTCTTTTTACATTATATTTCATAAATAATTTCTTAAATGACATCAATTTCATTGAACCATTTATAATATATTGGTATGGCGTTTTCAAAAACCATTAATCCATGCCGGGGGAAATAAACTAAATATTGGTATGCACTAAAAAAAATTGCTGTAAAATATATCACAGCAAAATTGAGATTTTATAAGACTACTTTTGGAATATATATTTTTCTTAAAAAATTTAAATAATAGTATAAGAGCATATAAGATTTTTGTACTTTGAATTTTATCACAAGAATTTAAAACCTGTTATAATAAATATATTGCCATTTAAATTTTGACAAAATCATATCATGAAATTTAAGGAAACAGTACAAAATTATAAGAGTCGATAATAATAAAAATATGGTAAAAGTTGAATGAAAAAATAAAATCATTTTTTTTAAATAGAAGTTACACCTAGACCAATGAAAATAAATGACACATACATGAAAATATTTATAGTCCACTTATAACTTGGATCTATGCACACACATTTCCATGAGATATAGACGAATCAAACAGCAATTAAAATAAAAATTAAGTCTCACATAATCTGAAAGGGATATGAGGAACCAGGTCCAATGTTTTCATGGAGATTCCATTTCCAACCCTAAGTGGGTTGTCTTTGCTCAGAGTTTTAATCTTTAATATTAATTTTAATTCAATTAAACCACATCTCGAAGCAACTGGTACAATAGTTCTTCAAAATGGCATCTTTTATATATACATATAAATGCCGTGACAGTATTTTAAGATTATTTCCTTTCTTCATGGAAGAAAATAATTAATATTCTTGTTTGCATAGGCAAGAACAATTATTGAATTTAGAAATAAGCGATGGTCTTTCGCAATGAAGCACTTAAAAAATTGAGACCCATTCTTTGAAGTTACCCTATAATAGTAACGTCATTTAACACATGACTTTTAAACAAATTATATTTGACTTGGACACCTGTCATATTGAATGAAAAATATTTTTTAATAATAAAAATATATGATCATAATTTTTTATTGAAAAAAATATTACAATGATCTTTCCAATTAAAAAATATTATAGTTATAGAGTAGTTTTGGACGTGAATTTATTAAGAGGCATGAAATAAGTTATGAACGTTTAACTAATTAATATGAGCGAATTTAATTAATAACAATGTTGAAAAAAGATTCAAACAATTAAAAGATCAATGAAATAGTAAGGAGAATAACTTTTTAATAATTTTTTTAGGAATCTAAGCTTGGTAAAATAGAAAATTAAATAATATATAATAAATACAGAGGCAAGAATGTCATAAAAGATCTGATATGAACAGGATAACATAAATGTGTTGAAAAGAAGGTCATAAAGAGGCAAGAACTAGATATGTTGAAAAATGTTAGATCCATAAATTTTGATAAGACTGTCAGTGATAACATAATCCAGTCATGTGAACAAGATTTGAATATAGATTTCTTTTGTGTATATTATATCGGCCTATTTATTATCTTGAGAATTGATTTGAACAGTTTTCATATCATGAAAACATGTCTGTTTTTTTTTATATTTTATTTGATTGAAATAAAATTAAAATGCTAGGGAAAAATAAATTGAAAAAATATTGTATCAATTTTGAAAATATTGAGTTAACTTAACTTTTCCTATGATATGAAATTAGCAAACAAAGATATCCATTCATAAAAAAGAAACTTCGTTAACTTTTAATTAATTTATAAATTCTGGTATCTTTATTTGAATTTAGTTAAATAGTGTCTCGGTATAATAGTTGAGGCCAAGATATGAACTTGACGGGTCACGTCCTTTCTTCTTAGAATGTCGTTATCTTTACGTTTTCTTCCTGTTCAGATTACTCAGGGGAGAATGGGTTGGGTACTTGCAAAGGCACTCCGACGCTCAAGTCAGAATAAGGGATTGATAGAACCTTTCTCAGTTCAATTTGTAGAAAAAAATTAATATTCTCTCTCAATTTCTCTCAGGGAAAAACTTAGCTTTTTTCCTTCTGGTTTTTCATATTTAACCTAGCAGTAAGATAAAACCGTTTACCTGAAAATCCGGTTGGTTAGAGAACTTAACTACTTGGAAAATATAACCGCTTGGTCGTACTTGATATCGGGTTAGTTGGTTCCGTGATTTGCGACGTCATGGCCACTTGTTTCTTAACCGTTTTGACTAAAATTGACCAAACATTTGTTGACTTTTATCTGACTGAGTTTAACATACGATCGCTAAAAGACGATCGGTAAACGGGATATAACGATCGCTTGATCTGGAGAGTGAACGATCGTTCAGGAACAGTTGTATGACAGCTCGTTATTTTATCCTTTAGTGATCGCTTTGATTACCTGTCGATCGATTCAGATATCTTAAAAATACAAATAGTTTTCTTTATTTAAATATGTAAAATATTTTTTATTTTTATCTAAATATTCTTGATTCTAGTATGAGATTTAATAATTATGTTTTTATTTTTTTAATTTTTTTCAAATTGGTAATTCGACCCACTCACTCTTTATTTAAGTATGAGTTCATCAATGAACTCAAGTAATAATAATGTCTTTAGTTTTTAATTTTCTCAAATTAATCGGTCAATCCACTCATTCTCTATTTGAGTATAAATATTCACTAACGAATTTAAAAAGATTAGGGAGAACAAACAATTTAATCGATAAATTGAAGATAGAAAGAAAACAAAAATAACAATAACATAATTAATCGATGGAAAAAAATTAAATGACAAATTATTTAAACAAAAATGAAAAAACATTTTAAACACATGAAATAAAGTTGTAATAAATTTTAATTTAAAATACACACATCTATAAGGATCATATTACTACAACCTCGTTTAACGAGTAAAGGAAAATCTTATGATAAGAATGACAAAATAAAAATTATGAATAGAATACGGTGCAAGTACAATTATTGTTACAGTGCGAAAAAGTAATTATATTTTGTATTTATTATGTATTAATTAATCATTAATGATGGAAGAGGAAGAGGAAATTAATTTAGGCACAGCAAGCAAAGGTTGAAGCTTTCGCATGGTGATACCGAGCCTTTCCCTGGTATCCAAGGTGGAGGGTGTGACATGACTCGGAAGTTTCCAGTCAAATTCGTGAAGCAACGATCCCAACACAAGATGAAGAATTCTGTGCGCTAGGGGCAAACCTGCACACATTCTTCGTCCACTTCCAAAAGGAATCAACCCAAAATTAGTTCCCTTGTAATCAAGGTTCTTGCAATCATCGACAAACCGTTGGGGTTTGAACTCAAGGGGTTGCTCCCAGACACTGGGGTCTCTCCCTATTGCCCAGGCATTCACCAAAACCTGGGTGTCTTTCGGAATGTCGTATCCCATGAACTTTGTGTTCTTCGTAGCCTTCCGAGGAACAAGCAACGGAATGGGAGGGTGCAATCGAAGTGTTTCCTTAATCACGGCTTGTAGGTAAGGAAGGTTGTCTATGTCACTCTCTTCAACTTTTCTTCCACGCCCGACCACCCGATCAAGCTCGCTTTTCACCTTCTCCAGCCACTCCGGGTGGCGCAGAAGCTCCATCATCGTCCATTCAATTGTGCTGCTTGTTGTTTCTGACCCAGCCAAGAATATTTCCTGTCCATCGTTTAATAACACTGGTTTGGTTACTACCACCATGTATACATATATAAAATGCTGAAATAAAATTTTTGTATATTTTGTACCAAAATGAAAATGTTGAGGTCTTTGTCTGAAATATTGAGTGCTTCTTCACTGTTGCTGCTTTGAAAGTCAATCAACACATCCAAGAAGTCCCTTGTTTTTTCATCGGAGTTCTTCTCGTCCAAACGCTTTTTCACGAACTTCGACGCGATTTCCAGAGCTTTGCCCATGTCTCGATCCATCTTCCTCCTCAAACCTTGCGGGTCCAGCCGCCTCAACCACGGGAACATGTCGGCGACGTTAGCGTGACCTGACCACTCCATCAAACCCATCATCGCAGTGAAAAACTCCGACCCGTCTTCCGAGTCAGGGTCGAACAGGTCCCGCGACAGCATCAGGTTCCCTAAGAGATTGAACGACATCAGGAACACGAACCGCGCCACGTGGACTCCGCCACCCTCTTCCAACTTCTCAGCCTCTTTGCTCAACCATGTTATCATGTTGTTTACGCACTTCCGCCGCACTGGAGCGGTTTCGTTTAAGCGTTTCGCCACCAGCATGTCCACGGTGACGAGGCGCCGCATGAGGCGCCAGTAGGGGCCGTATGGGGCTAAGGCCAAGGAGGATTTGTCGTAGTTGTGGACTCGCATGGTTTCGGTTATGGTGCGGTCTGCGAATGCGTGGTCGTGATTCTTGAAGAACACGGTGGCAGCATTGGCTGAGAGAATAGTCATGGTGTTAATGGCGCCGATTTGGAGCCACACGACGGGGCCGTGTTTGGCCCTTAGTTCGGTGAGGGTGCGGTGAGGCCTGTCTCCGAGCTGAAACATGTTTCCGAATATGGGCCATCCCGGTGGTCCCGGCGGAAGACGGCGGTTTCTGGCTGCGGTTTTGCGACGGAGGAGGAAGATAAACAGAACAGACAGGAGTAGGAGAAGAAAGAGTGAAAAATATTCTGAAGTCAACGCCATGCTTTCTGGGAACCAATTTGTCTAATGGAAGTTCTCTGTTTCTGCGGTCCAATTGTTGGAACTGGGTGGCCATCTAAAGTTGGAGACATATGCGCCTTTCGACATGTCCTCCAAACCCGAAAGGGTCCCTCCCAGTTAGCGCGAGTTTGCCATGGGCTCGATTCTTCCGATCTTTCTCCCGCTTCCGCCCACAAATCGCCGCTTTGAAGTGTCAGGTTTGCCCTTGGTATTGTTCGTCGAGATAGCATGCTCTTTTTGGGCCTCTGCGCGAATTTGGAACCTCAACGTCGTTCATGAAGGAACTTCGAGATTTGTCCATAAAAAAAAAATGTGCTCTTCATTAAGGGACATATCAAGTGATTGGCGCCCTCAATGAAGGCTCGCCCACCTCGACTAAGCTGGCGTCAGTGCCCATAGGTTAAGTTTAATGGCGTGTCCCCCGTATATCCATGGTGAGTACATCTGTCTGCCCCCAGGACCTCGGGTGCTCCTCCACCCATAACTCTTTGGCTTTCACCGAGCGCTTTTTTAACTCTTTCAAAATGGCTTATTTGCGGCCTCGCTTGACCGTTTGTTTGGGGGTGCTCGACAATGACGTGACATTCTAATGCCAAACGGGTGAGGTTAATCCTCTAATTTGCGTTCGCTGAATTGCGACCGTTTCGGTGAAGATTTCTAGGGAGACCCGAACCGACAGATGAGACGCCAAATGAAAACTTCTGCACACCCCCCCCCCCCCCCCCCCCCCCCCCCCCCCCCCCCCCCCCCCCCCCCCCCCCCCCCCCCCCCCCCCCCCCCCCCCCCCCCCCCCCCCCCCCCCCCCCCCCCCCCCCCCCCCCCCCCCCCCCCCCCCCCCCCCCCCCCCCCCCCCCCCCCCCCCCCCCCCCCCCCCCCCCCCCCCCCCCCCCCCCCCCCCCCCCCCCCCCCCCCCCCCCCCCCCCCCCCCCCCCCCCCCCCCCCCCCCCCCCCCCCCCCCCCCCCCCCCCCCCCCCCCCCCCCCCCCCCCCCCCCCCACCCCCCCCCCCCCCCCCCCCCCCCCCCCCCCCCCCCCCCCCCCCCCCCCCCCCCCCCCCCCCCCCCCCCCCCCCCCCCCCCCCCCCCCCCCCCCCCCCCCCCCCCCCCCCCCCCCCCCCCCCCCCCCCCCCCCCCCCCCCCCCCCCCCCCCCCCCCCCCCCCCCCCCCCCCCCCCCCCCCCCCCCCCCCCCCCCCCCCCCCCCCCCCCCCCCCCCCCCCCCCCCCCCCCCCCCCCCCCCCCCCCCCCCCCCCCCCCCCCCCCCCCCCCCCCCCCCCCCCCCCCCCCCCCCCCCCCCCCCCCCCCCCCCCCCCCCCCCCCCCCCCCCCCCCCCCCCCCCCCCCCCCCCCCCCCCCCCCCCCCCCCCCCCCCCCCCCCCCCCCCCCCCCCCCCCCCCCCTAACCCCCCCCCCCCCCCCACACACACCCCCCCCCCCCCCCCCCCCCCCCACAAAAAACACCCCCCCCTCCCCCCCCCTCCCCCCCCCCCCCCCCCCCCCCCCCCCCCCCCCCCCCCCCCCCCCCCCCCCCCCCCCCCCCCCCCCCCCCCCTCGCTGGCGCTGATGACGGACAGTGGCTCCGCTTCTATCCATTTTGGAAGTAGTCAATGCCACGAGGAGGAACTTGTTTTGCGCTTTGGCGATCGCAGTGGCAAGTATGTAGAGACCCCACTGGGCGAACGGCCAGGGAGAGACAATATTGTGTAAGTCTTCAGAGGTGCACGGAGGTGTGACCATGTGCTTGGCAGGAAAGGCATTTCTTGACGATGTCTCGCAGTCGCGGTCGAGAGTAGGCCAGTAAACCCCGCCGAAGAACACGTCCTTTAATGTCCGTTTACCAGAGGAAATCCACACATCCTGTGTGCGTTCGCGCAACACATAGTCGGCCTCTTCTTCCGATAGGCATTTCAGCAAAGAGTGCTATGTGCCGACGATAGGTCGTCGCCTATACACACAAAGCTTGCAATGTGTTTGGAATCAGCCGCGGTAATGCTAACGCCTTTTCCTGTCGCTCCATGAGTCTTTCACTTTCTGCCGCCAGTCTGTTATATGTTGCGACACATTAGTGACAAAAGCTTCCACCACAGGGCGGTCGAGTGTCATTCTAATGATTGAGGATAACTGCGCTCGCTCTAGAAGAGTTAATTTGGACAAAAGGTCCGCTTTACGTTTTGCTCCTGGGTACTGGATGACATTAACTTCGACAAAATTGCGGTAAAGTCTGAACCTTGTGGTAGTAACGCAATAGCTGATGTCCTTGACTTGAATAGATTCCATTGACATGGTGACGACCAATTTCGAGTCCATCCGACACTCTAAACGCTCGACCGACAACTCTCTAGCCAGGATAGGCCGGCGATTAAGGCTTCGTATCGCTTGGTTGTGCTAGTTGGAAATGGAATTGATGGCTTGCTCTAGGACCACATCATCTGGCCCCTCTAAGACGACACCGGCTCCTCCCCCTTTTGTCAGAGGAACCATCCACGCTGAGGAGCCATTTTGTCGGCAGTTCTCTGGCGCAGGTGTTAATTCGGCTGCGAAATCTGCCAAATGTTGACCCTTGACAGATCCGCGGGCCGTATTCGAAGGCCGAATTCTGACAGTTCACTGACCAAGCAACCATGCGTCCTGCTAAGTCTGGCTTGCGGAGGTCTTGGCGATGGGCTGATCTGTGCGGACTATCACTGATGGCTCTGGAATATGGTCGAGCGGCGGAAGCTGTGAGCAAACGCCAGGCAAACTTCTCAATGCGGGAATAGCGTTCCTCGGCCCCTTGCAAAGAACGACTGTGAAGTAGATAATTAAGGGAGGGTCTCTTGATCAAGCGGCTACCCGCATAGGGGAGCTGCAAGATACATTGTAAGTCGGATCCCTCGTCCGTCGGCCATAATTGAGGACTGGTCAAGATGTGCTTGACAGTGTTGAATGCAGCCTCGCAATCATTGTCCCAGTGTTGGGTGGAGCCCTTTTTCAAATTTCAGGATGGGTTTAATGTATTCAGCCACCTTGGAATAAATCTGGACAGGCGGTAAAGGCCGACCCTAAAGACGTTGTACTTCTCGTAGGGTCGTGGAGCTGGCTGTCGAGCACGGCTTTGCATTGTCGGGGTTGGCTTCAATACCTCGACGTGGGTGACATGAAACCTAAGAATTTTCCTCGGGACGCCGAAGGTACACTTGGTAGGATTGAGGCGCATGCTGTACCGTCGAGCTGGGCAAAAACCTCCTTCAAATCTTGCAGGTGCTGTTCTACAAGTTGCTGCGGAAACCATGTCCATCGACATATACATCCATGCATCGCCCAATCTGGTGAGGAAAACTTTATCCATAAGGCGTTGATAAGTAGTCTCCGGCGTTCTTCAACCCGAATGGCATTACTTCATAACAGTAATTTGCGCGTTCGGTAAAAGGCTGTCTTGCTTTGATGGGCTCGTACATCGGAATCTGGTTATAGCCATGAGGTAAGCGTCGAGGAGCTTAGTATTTGATGACCTAAGCTCACATCTACCAGACGATCGTGCTGGGTAAGGGGTATAGTCTTTAGGACATGCCTTGTTAAGATCATTGAAATCGACACACATTCTCCATTGGCCGTTGGACTTTTTGACCTAACTACGTTTGACAGCCCCGTAGTGTACGTCAATCTCTGATGAATTGGGCATTCAGCAGTTTCCCAACCTCTGCTTGGATAGCCTGGCGTTTCTCTTCCCCGACTCGTCGCTTCTTCTGGGCGACAGGTCGTGCCTCCGGAATGGATAATTTGTGGGCCTGACCCCGGGATGGATGCCTGGCTATCAGCATGCTTCCTCCATATCAGTTGCGTTTGTTCCGTAGAATGTGTCCCAAATCGTGCGCTCTTGCTGGAGGTGAGGTCTCCGCCAATGCTAGTGGTTTTGGATGTGTGGTCGTTAAGGACAGGAGTTTGACTTCGCCTGCGGATGTAGACGCTCGTCTACGTTGGTGCGGGGGTCTAATCGGCATGCCGCGGCCTGGGTCCTTTTGTCCTTCTGGTTGGGACAAGGGAGTGATTTTAACCCGGCGACAATAGCATGTCAGATGTGCGCTGATCGGCCCTCACAGTACAAATGGCCACCATGGTCTGTTGGGAACTTCATGGCGAGTTGAGAGTAGATACGATTGGCCCCAAACACGTTCAGACAAGGTCGTCCTAGCAGGGCGTTGTACGATGCATTGGCCTGACCAGCAGGAATCGAACTCGAGTTATGGTGCCTCTCGACTCGTTCCGAGCCGAGTCCGCAGTCAATGTATCCTCTGGTATCGACCCGTTCTCCTTAGAATCGACATCTTCTCATTAAACGGGGCGATGAGGTCCTCTGATAGGTCCATTTTCTGAAAATGGACCAATAAAAATGTTGACCGAGCTTCCTGGTCGATAGGACCTGCTGACATCATACCGAGCTATTTAGATGTGATGCATAGGATCATCATGATAGGATCGGGGGCATGGAAGTCAGCGTTAGTGAACGTGATGTCAGGGATCGACCGAGCCCTGTCGCCGACCATATGGACCGACTTCAACTGTCTCAAATGTCCTCCTCGCCGAAGCCGACACGCCTCCCCCGCAAAACCACCAGATGGTGTCGATGCGCGTCGGACTGGCGCTCTCTCTCTGTGCGTCGAGGTGGACTGCGCGATCGCCTACGGTGTCGATCATCTTTAGGGGGAGATCGCTGGGGACTGCGCACTAGGAGGATCTCTTCGGCGAGGATTTTTGGCTCTAGCGGAAACTATCTCCTTGAGTAAGTCTGGAGATACCTGCACGAATGAGTCGTTCTAAACTCGTCTCTTACTGCGTTGCATTCGTCCGTTGTCGTGCCCACTTCTGTGGGGAACCGGCAAGTTTTGCTGTTATCCGAGTTCTTTGGGGTGGCACTCCGCTGCACGGTGAGAAGCTCGGCGTGTAAGGCCTCTTCTAGCACCTCGCCCTTTTGCGTTGAGTCGTGTACGATCGTTTTAGACGTCCACCCCGACTCTTCCTAGGTGGTCGATCGGTATGTAGTCATTGG